TATATATATATATATATATATATATATATAGTGTTTGATTGCATACGTACGTACGGGTATGTGTATATGGAGATGTATCGATAAATAATGAATGAACATTGGTGGGGGATTATATATATGTATTATATTTTAAATTCAGGTAACGAATCAAGTTTTTAGATATGCAAAGGAGGCAGGAGCCAGCTACATAAACAAGCCCAAAATGAGGCACTATGTCCACTGCTACGCTTTGCATTGCCTTGACGAGGAGGGATCGAATGCATTGAGGAGATCGTACAAAGAGAGGGGAGAGAATGTTGGGGCATGGAGGCAGGCGTGTTATAAGCCCCTCGTCACCATTGCTGCGTTGCAAGGTTGGGACATTGACGCCATCTTCAATGCCCACCCTCGCCTCTCCATATGGTACGTCCCCACTAAGCTTCGCCAGCTTTGTCATGCCCAACGCAGCAAAGCCGCCGCCTCTTCCACTTCTGCTGGGAGCACTTCTACTACTACTACTGTTGCTGCTGTCGTCTGCTCACACCTTCCGCTCTTTTAATTTAATGAATTTCCCATGCATGCTGCAGGTTGAGCTCGCTCACAGTTTGAGTTGAGCCACTAGCTACAATTATCGTGCTTAATATGTGAAGTAGCTCCCTAGCTTTCTTCGACTTTAACTAATTTATTTATGATGTGATGCAGGATGGATATATTGATGTTGTATTCTATATTCTGCTTTTCGAACTTGATCACAATTAATGGAATAGCACGTCTACTGCATGTTACCTATCTTAGCTATTTTAAAATAAATACTCACTTCTACTGATAAGTTTCTCATGAAGAAAAAGGACAGATAAGGAAGAAGAAGAAAATCATAGATTGAAGGAATCTGCAAAACACTTCCTTTTTCGTTTTTTTGCTTTCCACAAAAAAACACTTTGTTTTTTTGCTTTTTCGTTTTTTGCTTTCCACAAAAAAACACTCCCTCCGTTCCACAAAACTCTTCCTTTTTCGTTTTTTTGCTTTCCACAAAACACTTTCACTTTCTATTAAAAAACCACTTTTACCCCTACTTTTTTCATACCCTACCTATCACATCATACTTTTTCACTAATAACCAAACTATCACATCTTACTTTTTTTCATCACATCAGGGGCAAAATTGGAAAGTCAACCAAAATTACACTTTCCTTATTTTTTCCCAAAGTCAAAACCGGAAGAGTTTTGTGAAACGGAGGGAGTACAATACAATCTACCCGGCCTGCTATCATTACAAGAACATGTACTTTTTACCACATTTGTTTTACCACACATGACTAAATGTGGTAGATAATTACCGCGTATTAAACTATAATTTTCCACACCTTTAAGTGTTGTCATCACAATAAAAGAACATTTTACCACAATAAAGCATCCAGCACCCCAATCCATTTTATTACTCTTAGGCCAAATAGCTTCGGCGTTCCCTGTGGTTTGAAAAATTGGAACCAATACCACATTTCTTTTCAAAACTTATTTACAAAGTCCTCGTGGTTTCAAAACGTTGCACCCACACCCCCTCTGATTACTTTCCGGCCATTTTCCGGCGAAAAGGGGGCATTGGCGCATAATGTTTAAACCATAGGGGACATTCATGCTTATTTCTTATTTTTCGTTTATTATTTATGTTTTCCTTTTTTAAAATATTTTCTATCTCTTTTTTTTCCTAGAATTTTTTTAAAATTAATTTTCAATTTTTTATGATGTTTTAAAAATTTTAAAATTCTTTTTGTTTGAAATAAAAACAAAAATAAAAAAATTAACATAGATTACATCTATCTAAATTTAAACATTTTAACTTTTTGTTATGTAATTTTTTTTTTTGGAAAGTTCAAAAAGAAAACCCAGAATAAAAAAAATAAAAATATGAAAAAACTAAATGAAAAAAATTAAAATACGCAAAAAAAATCTTATAAAAAAATTTGGTCACACCTAAAAATGTCCTTAGAATTGAGATATCCGAAAAGGATATTCTTTTTTTAGTTTTGTATTATTTTGTTTCTTATTTTTGTTGGAATACATGAGTTCAACCCTTTCTGTGTTGTTAAGTGTTGACTCACAAGTTTTGATAATTGACAAACACAATATATTCAAGTCAAGATCAAAGTGCTACAACGACAAACACGAAGACTTGAAATGCCATTCCTTGAAGTATTCAAGAAGGTGCATAGGATTTTATTGGAGTCCGAGACGCATTCGGATCGCCTAACATAGGACTCGGAGGAGTAGAAGATTTTCGAAGACTTTTATTTATTTGAGTCGTAGGAATAATTGTAAGGATGACAAAAATATCTTCTCTCCAAAATTATTTTTATGAGAGTTAAAATAAAAATTATATTTATTTTTGGAGTCAGTTGAAAAATCTTTTTAACTGTTCAAAATACATCATTGAGTCAGTTACAAAAGGTGTGTCAAACATTTATCAAAATATTTATTTTGATATTATAAAATATTTTTGGTAAGCCAAAATATTTTATTCAAATATTTTTCGTGTACATCGTTGGACACACAAAATAATTTTTGGACTCACTTTTACTCCCTTATTCAAATTCATTGAATAAGAGAAGGAGCGTTCTCTGATTCCTGTTTTCTCAAACAACAAGTGTTACGACATTTTTGCTCTCAATCGCAACTGGCTTGGGCCCTTTGAGTTTGCACATTATTTCTTCTTTTAATCGATTATTCTTCTTTAATTTGTTTAATCGATTAGTCTTCGATTATTGTTCAGCGCATTCAATTAATCGATTATTCCTCTTTTCTTTAATCGATTAGTCCTCTCAGAGCCTTCTAATTGACTAACCCCTTTGCATTAATCGATTATTTCCGCGCAGAAGCAATCTTGCTCAGACTGCATTAATCTATTATTGGCACTGCATTAATCGATTTTTATGCTGCATATTTTCAGCACAGCTTCTTTTCTTGGACCAACAAATATATNTTCCTTGGTCATTTTTGATAATAAGAAGCACTCCTAAACTCCCCTATCTTGAGGTTATAATTCTCCATTCAATTCTTCCTCAAATTGATATATTTTGAGAGAAAACCAAGTGTTTTCAAGAGAGTGTTTTGTCATCCATAGAGCTTTAATCATTTCTCATTTCTACTCTTTTGAGAGTTTATCTTGATAGGTTGAAGAAGATTGTTCTTCTTGTTTTTCAGGACTTATGTGACTTAAGTCTTGGTTGTGAAGTCTTGTAGAGAGCATATCTACGAGCGGTTGTGTCGAGGCTTGTGGGATTCAAGTTCTCGAGTTGTAAACGGTTTGTTAAGCACCCGTAAGCTTAACGGAAGTAGTGGTAGCTTCGAGAGAGTCTCTCGGGGAACTGGACTAGCCACGAGGTGGTGAACCATATACATCGGTGTGTTCTTTGCCTTCTCTCTTTTATTTCCGCTGCACTTACGTTTATTTTATTAATCCTGCAAAAATCGGTAATCATTCTCAACAACTCTATTCACCCCCCCCTCTAGAGTTGCACGTCTTGTCTAACAATTGGTATCGGAGCGGGTATCTCTAACGCTTCTTGTGACGTTTGAGAAAACGATCAATTTTTTTTTTGAGAATGTGAACGCAGGGATTGGAGAAGGGCAATCCACCGTAAGGCCGCCATTTTTTGATGGAACAAATTACTCATATTGGAAGGAGCGAATGAGGATTTTTGTTCAATCAAACGACTTTAAAATTTGGCTTGCTATCAAGATCGAATGGAGATAGCTTGCCGATGAAGAAGATGGGCGATACACTCATCTCGAAGGACGAGGATGAATACGATGAAGCCGACTTCAAGAAGGTACAATTGAATGTCACCGCCATAAACTTTTTGTATTGTGCTGTCAACGCCAACGATTATCAAAAGATATCTCGTTGCCAAACCGCCAACCAAATGTGGAACAAGCTCATGATCACATACGAAGGTACGCCTCAAGTTCGTGAATCAAAAATTGATTTACTAACCCATGAATATGAGTTATTTGCTATGAAAAAGAACGAGCTTGTGGAGGACATGTTTGGAAGATTCTCAAACATTATCAACGACCTTGATATGCTTGGAAAGACTTTCACTAACAAGGAGTTAGTGAGGAAAATCTTGCGAAGTCTTACCAAGGAATGGGAGTCAAAGGTAAACTCCATCTATGAAGGCCGAGATTACAATGTTATCACATATGACGGTCTTCGAGGTAATCTTATCACTTACGAAACAAATCATCTTTCTCATACTCTTGATGTTAAGAAGAGAACGGGAATTGCTTTTGAAGCATCTTCTTCTCAAAAAGTAGAGATTGGTGATTCGGATTCGGATAGTGATAGTGATAGTGATTCTAGCACTTCTTGTGATATTTTGGTTGAATGTTTTAACGAGTTTATGAAACATGAGCTTAATAATAGCAAGAAGAAAAATTCCCCAAAATGTCACAAGTGCGGAAAGCTTGGCCACCAAAAATTTGAGTGCCCGAAGCTCAAGAAGAGGAGCAAACAAGATGAGTTCACATACTTTTCGTGGAAGTATGATGAACCTTCCAAAGACAATTGGCTCATCACTCTTGAAGAACAAGATGGGTGGTCGGGTACGTGATGCACATGGAAGGTGTGCTTGAAGACTACAAATTTGTAGTGGATGCTCCAAGCACTTAGCCAAAGAGATTGCATCAAAGGGGAGTAAATTCTTTTTTTAAATTAAATGTTATCTTTGAGATTTATATGAATTTATTTGGGGAATATATATAGGATGTTTTGCATATAGTAAGGGGGAATTATTGCTATATGTGTTAATCTTTTTGCATGCCTTATTTTTAAGGAGAGATAGCATACTTTAAGGGGGAAGTATTTTATTTCCTAGAAATGCATGTTTTTAGGGGGGATGTGATTTTTCTTAATTGTCTAGAATTTTTTTCTCTCCTCGGAATGCATGAGTTCTTTTGTTGCATTATTTTTTATAATTCCAAAAGGGGGAAGAGTATAGGAGTATATGCTTTAGTTTGTTATTTGTTGGTAGCATATCCTCCATGTGTTTGTCATTATCAAAAAAGGGGAAATTGTTGCAATGCATGAGTTCAACCCTTTCTGTGTTATTAAGTGTTGACACACAGGTTTTGATAATTGACAAAAACAATTTATTAAAGTCAAGATCAAAGTACTACAACGGCAAACACAAAGACTTGAAGTGCCATTCCTTGAAGTATTCAAGAAGGTGCACAAGATTTTATTGGAGTCCGAGACGCGTTCGGAGCGCCTAACGGAGGACTCGGAGGAGTAGAAGATTTCTGAAGACTTTTATTTATTTGAGTCGTAGGAATAATTGTAAGGATGACAAAAATATCTTCTCTCCAAAATTATTTTTATGAGAGTTAAAATAAAAATTATATTTATTTTTGGAGTCAGTTGAAAAATCTTTTTAACTGTTCAAAATACATCATTGAGTCAGTTACAAAAGGTGTGTCAAACATTTATCAAAATATTTATTTTGATATTATAAAATATTTTTGGTAAGCAAAAATATTTTATTCAAATATTTTTCGTGTACATCGTTGGACACACAAAATAATTTTTGGACTCACTTTTACTCCCTTATTCAAATTCATTGAATAAGAGAAGGAGCGTTCTCTGATTCCTGTTTTCTCAAACAACAAGTGTTACGACATTTTTGCTCTCAATCGCAACTGGCTTGGGCCCTTTGAGTTTGCACATTATTTCTTCTTTTAATCGATTATTCTTCTTTAATTTGTTTAATCGATTAGTCTTCGATTATTGTTCAGCGCATTCAATTAATCGATTATTCCTCTTTTCTTTAATCGATTAGTCCTCTCAGAGCCTTCTAATTGACTAACCCCTTTGCATTAATCGATTATTTCCGCGCAGAAGCAATCTTGCTCAGACTGCATTAATCTATTATTGGCACTGCATTAATCGATTTTTATGCTGCATATTTTCAGCACAG